AGCAACACAGTACAACATTTGTTGAAAACCGTTGAAAACAACAAAAGTGTTATTGTGTTGCTAAGCTTGTGATAGGGGTAACTGCGTCCAGGAGGGTTCCTAAAGAAAATGTCACCCTGTACAATACAGTGTGCATGTAATACAAGTCGTTGTAATAATTATAATTGAGAATAAATATTGGTGTCAACAGTGAAAATCGTGTTACAGTTAACAATATTGTATTTTAAATGAGTTTCATATGTAATATAAGTCTATTATTGAATATTTAATTGTGATTTCAATATTTTATGAAATAGAGTAAATTACCGTATTATCCCATAGACAACGCGCGCGTTATCTAATGAAAAAAGTGCAATTCTTGCCAAAATTAGTGGTGCGCGTTATCTACGGGGTGCGCGTTATATGTGGTTAAAAATAAATCAAACAAAAAAGTATTATTAAAAATATTATAGTTTATCAATAAACATAATTATCATTAGTGGTTAGTTGTGGGGCTAAAATTCATTAGACGTGGTTTTTGAATCATCAAGCTTATTAATTAATTATTTTTCATTATAAACGTTACAATAATTGCAGGCATCGAGTACCCAAAAGCCCACGATTAATAATTAATCGTAAATATTTACAAATAATTTTCATATAAAAGTTCATTAATATTTAATAAAAGCGTTTAAACCCCACTCATTATAGTAGTATACTTTATATCTGAATAGTGTATAAATTATAACACACTGTTTAATACTGTGTACACCCAGGTGAACGCTTTTGACTTCTTTGATAATTATAATTAGTATAAAAATCAATCAAATTTGTCAAAATCTGATTCTGTTTCAAACACAATTCTAATATCTAATAACATGTCTTATTGACTTCTTTGATAATTATAATTAGTATAAAAATTAATCAAATTTGTCAAAATCTGATTCTGTTTCAAACACAATTCTAATATCTAATAACATGTCTTCTGTGTCTTATGTGTTTTCATCTTCAGATATATCAAATTCAGAATCAATAGTGATTTTGTTTAAAATTTATTTAATTACAACAATTAATCACAATTTTTTTATTTGAATTGTATTTTAAAAACACGCGTTTAATCTAACACTAATAATTCAACATTAATAAGTTTGAAATATACAGTAGATGATATGCGCGTTATACACGGGGTGCGCGTTATCTATAAATAATTTTTCATCCAAAAATATTGCTAAATATCTTACTGCGCGTTATACACGGGGTGCGCGTTGTCTATGGGATATTACGGTACTTGAAAGGAGACAATTTTATAAATTTATTTATTTGTCATAAAATTCAAATTATTTTATATTTTATAAAGTGATATAAATTTTGAAAATCAATAATGCTTATGAAAAACATTTTGCTTACCATTCAGTGTATACAAAAAATATTACAATTTTGTCATTAAAAATATTGTGATTAATTAATTATTCTTTCCATTGTATACAAAAATGTTTTTAATAAAAACCTATTATTGATTATAAAACACGAATAGTAATTAAATGTTTTATACACAGAAAATTGGAAAAATTATTTAGCACAATACATAATTAAAAATTCATTAAAAACTATATAAAAAACTATGTAACCTATAAAATACAAACATTAATTAAAAAATTGTCTAAAGTCTAGGCGTAAACTGCATACGAATGGGTGTTTTGGGTCTAATAACGAGTTCGGGCGCTATTTTGATGACATCGGTGTGATCTAACGACTTGATCGTATAGTTGCGCAAAATTGTGGCCAAAATAGTCTTCTCCTCGAGGAGTGCGAACTTCTGTCCGATGCAATTGCGAGCGCCGGCACTGAACGGCACGAATGCGAACGGATGTCGTGTCATATGACTGTTGTCCAGAAACCTCTCGGGCCGATACACCTCCGGCTGCGGGAAACACTGCGGGTCGCGATGCACCTGATATAGAAACACCAGACACGTCACCCCAGCCGGCACTGCATACCCGTTGATCGTTGTGTCCTCGTTTAGGTGTCGGCCCACGAATGGCACCGATGGGTACAGACGTAACGCCTCTTTAATACACGCCTCCAGATATTTCATTTCTCGCAATTCGTTCATCGATATCATCCGCCGTTCGCCGACCCAGTCGTCGGCCGATGCGTTGAGTACGGCGTCCAACTCCTGGTGACACTTGTCCTGTATGTCCGGATTGAGGCCAATGAGATGCAGTGTCCAACTGATGGCCATCGATGTGGTGTCGTGTCCTTCAAACATAAAAGTGTCCACTTCTTCGCGGATGTCCTCTTCGGTGAATTCGCTGTTTCTGAAGTGTTCGCTCAGAAGGCTGTCGAGGAATGCCATTCGACGCCTGCGATCTGTCGTCTCGTACTCTTCATTGTCGTCGCCTTTGCTTTCATTGCCATTGTTTGCAATCATTTTCTCATTTTTATTAATAGAGTTCTTCTTTTCGTCGATTATTTCCTTTTTTCTTTCTTTAATAACCTGTGAATCAAAAGCAAAAGAAAACGAGAAATAAATTTGTCATCAAATTATTGGCAAAAGAAATGAAATTGTTTTTTGATAGAATATTTCTCTCTCTCTCTCGCAGAACAGGAGAGCTATTCCTCCTCCGAATGTTGAGGCCATGGCTTTGGAATGACTTCCTCTACAGACAGACACCAAATGGAAAAATATTCA